CTCTTTCCTTAAAAACACTTCTCTGACTTCTATCACACCATATTATCTTGGCTTTCTCATGCCTCTGTGGGTACTTCTTATGAGTTATATTTATAGTTCTTCCTGTATCTAAAGGTAGGAGATCCTTGGGAATCAGCTTAGGTCCTCTTCCTCTTCCTCTTCCTGTCAGATAATTCCTTGGGCAGTCTCATTCACTTCCTTGATTTCCTGCTATCAATAAGCTAGCAATTCTCCAATTTATAGCTTCACACCAGTCTTAGTTACAGACTTATTTATGTCCCCCTCTTTTCAACTTAAAATCTTATGGGCCATTCGAAACCAATGATTTTCCCTGCTGCCTTAAAACAAAAGTAAAAAAAGAATCCTCTACTCTTCCTTCACTGGTGCCCCTTTCAGTACATAAAAGTCAATTCAGTTGTTCATGCTAAAAATCTGAGTATCATTCTTGATACCTTCCTTTCTCTTCTATTCTCCATCCTGCCTATGAGCCATTCAGTCAAGTCCTATCGGTGCTCTCTTTTGTATATATTTATAAATGTGTGTATGTCATTTCATCTGTTTTTATACACTTTTACTAACACCCTATTCAATGCTACCTTTATTTTTAGATAGATTCTATAATAGTCTCCTAACAGTCTATCACTCACTTAACACAGAAACCATAAGGATGTTTCAGAGATATAAATCTGAGCCTCTTATTCCTAGATTTAATTATTCAGTGACTTTCCATTATATTCAGAATATACTGGAAAAAAATTCTTAACAAGGGCTACTAGACTTTGTTAAGAATTTGATTTTGATCCCTCACCTAACTCTTCATTGTCATCTCCGTCTTGCTCCCTTAAGCTATACTTACCTTCCCTTAATTCGTTAAAACAAGCCAAGTTCTTTGCAGCCTGAAAGTCTTTGCGTGTGCTGTTGCTTGGCCAAGAATACTCTGGCTCCCCGACGTTCTGGCCTGGCCAACTCCCATTCACCTTTACAGTCTCAGCATAAATGTCATTTTGCTATGGAAGTTTTCCCTGCTTCACCCTCCAGCCCTAAAGACTAGGTTTGTTCCCTGTGTTTATACCTTCTCACAGCACTGTCTCACCACCCCTTTTATAACATCTGTAATTGTAAACAATTGTTTGTTCATAATTATATGTACAATTAATGTGTATAATGTCTTTTTCCAGAAAAGGATAGGAGTTTCCTCGGCTCAGAGACCATATCTCTTTTGTGCACTGCTATATATATTCTCAATGTTAGCACACTCTCTTACCCTTAGAAGGTACTTTTTTAAAGAATAAACATACATATATATATATATATATATATATATATATATGTATGTTTATATACATATATACATAATATGTACTTACATATGCATGTATATAATTACATACACACATAGGGGTGTGTAATATCTATAGCACAGCTGGATGTGAATATACATATGTACATGTACAAACCAATAGGAAAATTATACCAACTACTACTGTCTGGAGCATAAACAGTTATAGTTTTCAGGTTCAGGAGATAATTACTATATACATCTATTTCTTTTAGTGGCTAAAAGGCCATATTGAGGAATATTAATTTCCCCCCCTTATAGGTAAAAAATTTGAAAATACTGAAATGTTTGGTCAGTACCCACTTCAGGTCAATGGATTCAAAGATCTACATGAGTGCCTAGAAGCTGCCATGATTGAAGGAGAAATTGAGTCTTTACATTCGGAAAATTCAGGAAAGTCCGGCCAAGAGGTGAGTTTAGCATCTTTATTCCCCTTTCCTTCAGGTCTGTCTTAAAATGTTGTGAAGTGCAATTTAAGGCTCTAAGGATATAGCTACTAATAATTGAGAGAATGCTCAGAAAATGTATTTGGATTTAATTATGATAATTTATACATATTTGGGAAACCTGCAGAGTCAATGTAGTCTATAATCTAAGTTAAATTTTCATTGAAAATTTTTCTCAAAATTTGGTGTTAAAATCCTCCTTTAGGACACTGTTCAGTCTTTTAAGACTTTTCAGTCATGGTACCGGCTATTACAGCATTCTAGTCCTGGAAGTAAGGAAGAAAAACACTGATGTTAGAGTGGAATTTTATATAGACATATGTTACTTACATCAAATATTGTTGGAATATGTCCACACCCAAGTAGGCAACACCACACTCCTTTTCTTGTAAAATTACTGTGTGATTGCCTGAAGAGCAGATGAAAAAACTTGCTTTCTCAAGAAAGAAAGAATTAAAAAAATATATTACAAACCTATTTATCTGTCTCCACTGGTCTCTGTCTAATAACCTATCTCCATCTCTCAGTTCATCTCTCAAGCTCCATCTGTATATCCTTCCGTCCATATATTCTTCTAGAATAATAGAGTAAATGATAAAGGACAGATTATGTGCACCAAAATCAGTCATCATTAAGCAGTTGCTGATAGCTGTCTAGATGTAAACTCCATGCATGAGGGTGGGGGTCTTCATCTGTGCCATTCACTACTGTATCCCTAGGGCAGTGTGGTGACTGCAGATAAAATTACATAATACATATTGACTGACTGAATGAAATGTCTCAGTCATATTAAAAAAGTTGCCAAGCTCTTTATTCTGAATAGGTACTTAATTAATGTTAAGTGATGGCATCTCTGTTTATCTAAAAAGGGACTAGGTTCTTGTATTTTTCAGAATAAATTGCTTTTATTTGAGTTGTGTGCTTTTTTAAAAAGATATAATTCTAACGCCATCCTCATTTCCTTTTCTTCCCTCACTCAAACAAAAAAGGAAATAAATAATATTTACTATTTTTTGGCTGTTTTATTGAGAGAAAGAAAATATTTGAAATAGTTTTTCTCTCTACATCATAGAGCATCTATTTCAGTGATTCTCAGCAGATACCTACACCTCACTTCAAAGCTATCGAATCAAAATCTAGGGTAGGGATATGGTATATGGCCACCAGAGCTCCACAGATGACTCTGATATAGACATTTAATTAAGAATACTTAAATTAAGCATATTTATTTTATTGATTGGGAAACAAATCCGTAAAGATTGGGACTTTCCAAGGATCCCAAAATGGAACAGGTGTGCAGAGCCCCATGAAGTGCGATCTGTTTCCTATTAAACTAAAGAATGATGGGTTTGGGCAGGGAAAAAAGGGATGGCATTTTCCTCACATTGTCAAAGTAGCTTATAAATGAAACACACTATGGTTTATTGGTAAATAATTTAATAATTGGTAAATAATCTTTCTCACATATCCCTAGCTTTTAAAAATGTTTTTCTTACATTGACTCTGATTGTCATTATTTATTTTTTTAAAAATCTAGTTTGTCCTCTGTCTTTGGCTTCATACTCTGAATGCCCTATACCACAATATATATTTTCTGCCTAGGTTTTCCCATCTAACCTAAGGTACACAGTGGTTTGTTGTCATCTCTGAATACAGTTTCTAAGCAGTCTCAATAATAGCAAATTTGATTACCTGTGATTCCTAGTACCAGTTGCCTAGATTTGCTGAACATAGTAGTTTCAATAATAATTCAACCTGGTTTAAGTGACTCTCACCGACTAGGGCAGAATATCTTAAAAGTTTTTAGTAACACTCTTAAATTATAGTCTTATTATGTGCTTCAGAAAAGCTATTTTGTTTCTCTATAAAGACCAATGAGTAGCATTTTAGGCTTGTTTCTAAACAAAATTGGCATAATCCCCGATGTTAATACCTTTTATCTCTTACACTATTATTTAATAAAAATTATTGATTTTACTTTAATACAGAAAACATCCTTTTTTTTTTTTTTTTTTCTGAAATAGCTGGGGCCAACTAATATAGGAAGGAAGATCTCTAGTCTCCAGGATTGCTTATGTTAAAACATCCAGTGGGCTATAAGAGTTTACATTTCTGTAATGACTACCAAGAGGCAACTGAATAAATTAAAAATGGTTATATGTAAGATACTTTTCTAAATCATAAATTTTAATAAAATGGTGTGCCAATTGTAAATGAGTTATACTCTCCAAGAAACCTGGAGCTATTTTTTGATTGCCTGTTGGAGAGAAAGAATTTCAAAGAGTAAACACCTCACTTCTGGTGTGGGTATTCACTACTAATAGTATGATGTACATCCTTTTAGACGATTGCTATGCACATATAAATATTGTATTTGTCTGTTCATACTGTCCTGAGACTTGCATTTTTTTACTTAGCATCATATTGTGAGCATCCTTCCATGTCAGTATATAGCTTTACATCATTCTATTTAGAACCTGCATAGTATCACTGTAGCCCGTATTTATAAAATTAAATTGTTGTAATTCTTCTGTGAGACAGTAGTTGGACAAAGAATTATTTCAAAGAATGTCTTCCTGTAAATACCCTTGAGCACTTAGGAATGAAGGATAGTTAGAAGTGGAATCTTTAGGTCACAGGGCATACTCATTTAAAAATGTAAGTACTGCCAAATTTCCCTTCACAAAGTTGTACCAAGTCATAATCAAAGTGCTGAGAGAAATTTTACAGAGATTTAATTAAAAAACTAAGTTATAGAAATAATACCTACATGTACTATATTAGATATATGGAGATATTATATAGGAAATATATAGGGCAAAGGAGTGAAGGCAATTAAATGACTGAAACTAATTTTTGAATTGGAATTGCAAGTATTCTCTTCTCGTGCTTAGTTTATATCCTAGCTTTGTTTGGTGTTCTGTGGGGAATTTGCAATGACAGGTCTGTTTTTTCTTGTTCCTCCCCCACCCACCCCCCATATTCATGTAATCTTCCAAAAGCAAGGTAGTTAAAACATATTAATAGAAAAATCAGCTATTTACTCATAAAAATGGCCACATTCTCTCTAGAAAATATTTTAACAGGTCTGATTTATATTTACAGTAAATTCAGGAGTACTGCTGTTGCCATTGCTGATTATCTAAGTTCTTTTTTCATTAACTGCAGAAATCTATTACACCTGTCAGTTCATTTTATAATGTAGTAATAATAATAGTAATCATAATGATATGTGTTTTGAGATATGGAGAATATAAGCAGCATTTTTACCTTTGATGACCTGTGTCTCACAGCATGGCATACTGGTTAGATTAGGGATAAAGTATAGAGTTTTACTGAATGGAAAAATATTTTGAAAGAAAAAAGTCTCATTGGTTTATATTATTTGAAATTCTACTTATGTACTGCTGTACTTATGATCTAAAAATCACAGAGCTAGACATACCCATAGTATTTTTGTAAATGAATTTAGGGAATGGTGTGGCTATCTCTCGTCCTGATCAGCATTATAATGAAAAAGTGAAATCCTTCCACTCCTGTAGTAGGAAAAAACTGTCACTGCTGTTGGAGGAAACATATCCACACAGAGACATATTACATAATATATTATGAACATTCTTTCATAAGATATGGAACCTATTTCCTGGACTATTTATGGTTTACAGAGAAGCATACCGCCAATTTGAGTCATTTCATTTCTGTTAGCCATTGTAGGTTCCCATGAATTAAAGTATGTTAACTATTTAAAGTTAATACTTAGATTTAATTTTAAATAGTAACATTCAAAGCATTGCAAAAAAATGAAGGTAATAGTACTTGAAATCTACTTGTTTGAGTATTATAAAATGGAATAGAGAATATCATCCTAAGGCATCAGACGTTTTCCTTGTGATATGTGTGGGGTATATTTTAATTCTTAATAGTAATTTTAGGTGTGGATTAAAGCTAACTAAAAAAAATTCTTTCCAGTGCCATGGGAGAACAAAGCAAATAAGCAAACTTTGCTCAAGAAATTTTAAAACTTAAGAGATGTTTCTAATATTAGATCTTCCATAACTTTCCCTAGTCAGTTTCAGGTAATATCCATAAAGCAAATTCCTTAAACTTCAACTTTTAGTAAAAGGTAAACCAAATCCAACTCAGGAAATCTCAATTCAGGTAATCATTAGCATTTTAGAAGGGAGAAATAGTTTTTAATAACCATTTATTTTTATTGATTTTATTTACAGAAAAGTAGCAACTTTCAAGATCATATTCAGTTTGCCACATTGTGCAGTTTCTGCTTTTCTTTTTCTTGAACGTTTGAATTTAAATTAGCATACTCTTAGCTTATTGACATTTATGTGGTGACATTTTTTGGCACTTGAAAATACCATACACGATATAGTATGCAACAATTTCTTTTTACAGAAGTACATTGCATGGCTTAAAGTAAGCACTTTAGAAATACTTGTTACATTATTTTATACTTCTGTATTTGTTAATTCACAAGTTTTTTTCCTTTTTCTTCCTCTTTAAATAAATAAGGTTTATGCAAAGCTTGAATCTGTTTATTGAAATAATTTTGAAGTTTTGTTGCATTTCACGCTTAACTGAACAGTTGCCAAAGTGTGTGGAGGAGTTGCCTCATAGCAGTGAGGCATTCAATTCTTTAAGCACTAATCATTTTTTAAAATATTAAATGTAGTTATCATCAGTATAAACTCTGTTTCCTAGTGATAGATCTTTTTCTCAAATTTTTCAAAATTCCAGTGGGAGCATTAAATTTAAAACAGTAAAGTATCAGTTTCTAGTTTTAGCATGAAAATTGTGATCATTTATGCTATAAAATATTTTTTTTCTTTAGTGTACTACCTCTTACATGTTACTTTGTCACAGGTTTTTGACCATGTGGTTGATTGTATTAAGTATATGTGCCATTCCTGGTAGTAATTGTGACATAATATTGAAGAAGCCAGAATACTTGAGATACTAAGCCATACTTTTATTCAGTGTCTTTCTCTTTGGGTTAGAAATTCTAATGTAAAGAATTAATGATTGAAGAAGGAGAGTCATTAGAAGATTTTTCTCTTTCCTGGTTGTGTGTTACCCCATTGGAATTTTCAAAAGGTGTGAAAAACTTTTAGGAGGAAGTTGAGTTTTAACTAAATTGCATACCCAATCAATTATTTGTGATGTTAGCATTATTATGATGCATATAAAAATGCCACTGCTAACTAACATCCTGTGCCTAAAATTGCAATGGAGAAAACAGAAATGTGATATTAAGGGGTTTTGTTACTGTTTTCTTTCAGCATTGGTTTACTGAACTACCACCTGTGTTAACGTTTGAATTGTCAAGATTTGAATTTAATCAGGCATTGGGAAGACCAGAAAAAATTCACAACAAATTGGAATTTCCTCAGGTTTTATATCTGGACAGGTATGGTTTGGTATACAGCATGACTTAGTTTTGAAACAGTTCAGTAGCCAGTGAAGAGTTATTGTGCTTAGAGAAAATTTTGCTTAATTTCCTTAAAATAATTTTTACTTTTTGCATAATGTATATAATACTATTTGTCAAGGAAAATGGAGTTCTCTTTTTATTTAGAAAAGGATAGTTACTGGGAATAATGTTATAAGGAAAAATACTAATTTGTATTGTCTGTATGATGTTTTATTATAAAATTTTGGGTGAGTTGATCTTCTGTGGTGATGGCTAGACTTAATATTGTGTCTACTTCTGTATTTGCAAATACTAATAATTGCTATATTTCTTTTTCCTGATAGATACATGCATAGAAACAGAGAAATAACAAGAATTAAGAGGGAAGAGATCAAGAGACTAAAAGATTACCTCACAGTATTACAACAGAGACTTGAAAGGTATTGAAACTTTAGTGAAATTATGAGCTAACTATAGGAAGTCATATTTTTAGTGACTGTCTAGAGCTTTAATTTAAAATTTGCTTTGAATGGTTTGTGATTCTAGGAGTAAATAATCATTTTGGATTGATATTTTGCTGGAATAGTTTAGGCTTGAGTTTCGTTAGAGACTAAAATAATTCATAGTTGGCATTAGAAGATGATGTTATTGTTTAAAATTAAATATTCCTACCATAAAGAGGTAATACGCATGGTACTAAAAATAGATGTAAAGTTAAACTAATCTATGATTGAGATTTCTTCTTGTGTGAGACTAAATATTACTCTTGAGATTTCCCTTAAAACTAACGGTAACTGAGTGTTTCTCCTTAACACAGAAGATACAAACTCAGATGCCTATGAGAGGCTCATGGAGGCTTTATAAAGGAGGGAAGCAAGTCAGGCATGAGCTGGTGGGCAAAGGGAGTCAGAGAGCACATCCCTGTGGAGAGAAGGTGGCTGCTATCCGCACTAGTAGGTGGTGCCACGCATGAACATCATCTTCCTATTGTCTGTAGCTTCGCGTTGTTTCCAGAAGAAACCAGAATCTAGAGTATGAAATATTCTGTAGTTCAGACAAAAGTCTACAGGCTGAAATGTGGTCTGAAAGATCCCAGTTTGCAACCTCTGATCTAATCTGTATTCCCTTGTTTTAGTGTTAATTTGAAAGTTAATAGCCCAAAACTTTTTATAGAAAATAATGTTATTTTTCAATAGTTTTAATTCTTAAAAGGTATCAATCATATTGAAAAATAATCAGACATAAACGGTGGGAGGATAATATTAGTCACCATCTTGAGACAAGATAACAGATCTAAAAATAAAAGTCTCAGGAGATGGAAATGTCAGTTTTCATTTTACTATTGGGTTACAACTTAGAGCAGCATCTAAAATTTATAACAGTATATACACACATTGTCTTAATCAGCTTTGGTTTTGTGTTCCTTTGGAGAACATTTAATTTATTTCTTGAGTGTGTATTTAGTTTTACCATCTTCATTTGAAAGCAAAATTATTTTCATTGTTGAGGAATATTTATTGAAGTGTTTTTATTATGTTTTATAACAATTATTGAAAAAAAAACAAATGTGCTTTATACACAAATGAAAGCATTCATACATTTTATGGTTAACAGGTATTTAAGCTATGGTTCGGGTCCCAAACGATTTCCCTTGGTGGATGTTCTGCAGTATGCATTGGAATTTGCCTCAAGTAAACCTGTTTGCACTTCTCCTGTTGATGATATTGATGCTAGTTCCCCATCTAGTGGTTCTGTACCATCACAGACATTACCAAGGTAAAAAGTTTTCTTGATAGAAGAGACAGCTGTTACTATATTACGTAATAATATAATTGATGCCTTTAAAGACGGTTTTATAAAATGGATGTTGTGATTTATTTTAGTGAACTCTAAAAAGATGACATTCACTTAGAAGGTTGTATGCTTCTGGGGGCTTTCTTATTTCATTGTTTCAATGGATTTTATGGTTATGGATTGAAAATTTCATCATACACCATTCAGAATTATACTTTAGGTTGTATGTTATATGTATCAACCTTTCATCCATGAAAATACTACTGTTAAATTAGAAAATTTTCTGTAATGTGAGCTGCTAAGTATTAGCAAGGGAAGGTTTTATAATTCTGGTATATGTAAGATTTGTATAAATAAATATGATTAAGCCATTTCTACTCTAAAGCCCCAATTTTATAGTAATGTAGTTCCATATATTAAGAATCTCATTAGGTTATTAGATTAATCCACATATTTCTGGGTTTTTTTTTTAAGAAAACCTTTTCTTTTTGAAATTATAAGCCAATTTAATGCTATTTGTTTGGCACATAATCATTGTCCAGAGCTTCAACTTGAAAAGTTTAATAATGAATATTCTGTACATTAAAAATACAGCACAACAGACCAGCAGGGAGCTCCTTCTTCAGAACTGCCAAGCACATCACCCGCATCAATAGCTGCCATTTCGTCGAGATCAGTAATACACAAACCATTCACTCAGTCTCGGATACCTCCAGATTTGCCCATGCATCCAGCACCAAGGCACATAACAGAAGAGGAACTCTCTGTGCTAGAAAGCTGTTTACATCGCTGGAGGACAGAAATAGAAAATGACACCAGAGGTAAGAAGTTTCTCATAGCAGAGCTACTCTACCTCAGATGGACATGATTAATGTTAGAATTGAGAAGGGAAGTCACCTGTGGATTATGGGTTTCATGTGTAAATATTAATAAAGGTTTTTTTCCCCTACAAAGTGTTTTCTATAAGGTAAACTAGTTTGGCTTCCTTTTTTATGATCTTAATATGAGGTTTAGAGAGACCAAAAGATTTTCCCTGTATTACTTAGCTAATTAATGACCTAACAGATGGTCTGATTTTCTGGTTTAGTGCTCTAAATTTATATCAAACTGGTATTCACAGGTACTCCATTGGTGAAACATCATACAGCATCAGATTTTGTACTTAATCAGTTATGTACCTCCCTTGATGTTTGTGCAGTGAGTTCAAATGATACAATATTTTCTTTATGTTGAAGAATTAGAAATGTGAATTTTAATGTTCAGTCTGCTCTAGTAGGTTTCCAAATATGATCTATTAGCTCAGTGCCAGTCTATAACGAGTTTTAACTGGCATGTAGTAAAATAAGAAAAGTAAGGACAGTGCTCTGTGGGGGGTGTGTGTGTGTTAGTGTTAAGTTGCCATCTGTCCATGCTTGGAAGGAACTCTCCTTTATTCTGAAATTATCTCCTTTACTTTTATCCTACTTTACTGTTGTTAAAATCTCCTTTTTCTTAAAATGAAGTGATATTAATATTTTATGGTAGTTTTATCATAATTTTTCTTGCATGTCAAAATATAATAACCTATTATTGCTCCCTAATTTTATCCTAATTTTATTGATCTATGAAAAAAGCATCTAGGAGTTACTCTTTTTATACCAAAAGGTTGGACTTGTACTAAACAGTATCACTTGTTAGATTTTAAATGCCCAACTAGATGCTTTATAGACAATATGGAAATAAAGAGCAGTCTGTATTTAATAGGGAGTAAATAGGGTGTGGTGGTAACTAACTGTTAGCATTAGTAACTAAAGATTTTCCTTAGTATTTTTCATATATAAGGAAATTTTTTGTATTTGAAATCATTAGTAAACATTAATTAAGCACATAGTTTTTCCTGAATACTGTGCTAGGTGTTGGATAATTTTCTAGTGGACTTGGCAGATTGTGTTTGTTTTCATAAGATTACATTCAGAAGGCTGAAAGCTAAGAACTTGACACCAAGGTAGTAGCATTGAGGGAGGAAAGAAATGAATTTGGTATATTCTTTGATGTGGGTCATTGACAAGAGGGAAGGGCGGGGGGATCAGCGATGATTCCCTTAGTTGTTCATAGTGATATGTATAACTACATAGATGGAATGCACTTTGGAAATGAGCAAACTGGTGGGGAGCAGGCCCTCACCTTGGGGGAGGAAGTAGGAATATGATGAGTCCATTTCTGGCCATTTTAAGTTAGAGGAACTTGAGAGACATGTCATAAGGTTTTGGACCTATAATACTATGCATCAAGTATTAAAGATTTTCCTAGGAATATTTGTTTTCTCTCTTTTATCCCTGATGATATTTGCTGTTACATTATTTTTTAAACTATTACATAGTATTCCAGCATATGAATATGATATAATTTATTCAATTTCTATGTTGTTACTAACTACCAATAAAGCTGGCCTTCCGCATACATATTAGCATACTTTGTGAGTTGAGTATATTAAAAATGCCATTTCTGATCCAAAGTGTATATACTTAACCTTTTGACTATTTTAAAATTTCCCTCCCCAAACAATGAGGCAGTTTACATTCCCAATAATTTTGTGCGAGAGAACCTGTTTCCCAGTATTCCCCCTAGCTCTGGGCACTTTTTAATTTGTGGTAGTCTGATAGTTGAAATGAAAATGGTATTTCAGTGTCTTGATTTGCATTTCATTAATTATGAGTGAAACTCTATTTTTCTCTAAATTTGTGACCTTTGCCCATTTTTTATATTGAACTATTTGTCTTTCTCTTACTGCTTAATAGAAACTTTAATGTTATGGGTATTAACCTGTTGCCTGTAGTGTATGCTGCAGATAATATTTTTCCAGTTTGTCATTTGATTTCCTTTATGTTGGTTTTTGTTTTGTTTCTATAATATTAGATTTTCTTAAATTTGGGGAGGGAGTCTTTTCATTTATGGTTACTGGATTTTCTAACAAGCTGTAAAAGGCCTTTCCCTAGTCTAAAGTTCCTAATTTTCTTTTGTAGTCTTTGGTGTTTTTTTCCTGATTCTGTTTAACAGCTTCATAGTATAGTGTGGTTACACTATAATTTAACCATTTCCCTATTGGCAAATATTTAAGTTGTCTCCACTTTTTAAAAAACACTTATAGGCAATATAACTGTGAAACATCCCTACCTCTAAATAATTTTGTAGGATAGATTTCTACTGGAAGTAGAAATAATGAATAATGGGAGTCTCATAACTTTATTTCAGTTGGTGATTAAAGTGGATTTTTATTCAGTTACTTCTGTACATATACATATATGTATGTGTGTGTGTGTGATGTGTGGTGAAGTTATTTTATTTCACTCTAAAGGTTTTCGTATAGTATAGCTCCCCTTTTCCACTTATGTGCCCTAATTTCCTCTGGCTCCAAACTTACATATTTTGACACAGGGGGAACTTCATCAAGATAAAGAACTTTATTCTTGATTTAGGGCAATAAAAGAATAAACTACAGGAAAAAAATAAAGTTTTTCCTGTTTTATACAAATATGTAGTGAGGGTTAGCTTTAATTTTCATTGGAAACTTCCTTTATAAATTTGAACAAAGTTCAGTTTTATTGGCTCTGCACATTTTTAAAATAAACCATATTTGTTTTCACTTTTCATTTTTCCTTTGTGCTATATCTTTTATAAAGAACTAAATTTCATTTTATACAAATTCTGAATAGTAAATTTTAGAACAGTTTTAGAAACTTTTTCTTATTCCTCTAACATATTGGTAGGAAAACCCTTATTCCCTACCTTGTAAGTCTCAGTAGAAGCATACTTGATGTTAATCATTAAATGGCATCTTCTATCCTTAGATTTGCAGGAAAGCATATCTAGAATCCATCGCACAATTGAACTAATGTACTCTGACAAATCTATGATACAAGTAAGTTGAATTTTGAGCTAGTAAGCATTATCAAAATTATTTACATATTTTAATTTATCTTTATGTTATTTATCATAATTCTCATACTTTTTGTTATAAAATTGTTGAACTTTAAGATTTTTATATTAATATTTTCCTCATTCAGTTGTATTCTCATACTGTATTTATTAGCCTACCTTTTTCTTTTATAATAAAATTTATCAAAAATTTCTAAAAGGCCTTAGCATTTAAAAAAAAATTCTATGGGAAAATTATATGGTTGTTTAACGATATTAAGATTATGGGAGTGGGGCTTCCCTGGTGGCGCAGTGGTTATGAATCCACCTGCCAATGCAGGGGACACGGGTTCAAGCCCTGGGCCGGGAAGATCCAACATGCTGTGGAGCAACTAAGCCCGTGCACCACAACTACTGAGCCTGCGCTCTAGAGTCCGTGAGCCACAACTACTGAAACCCGCGCACCTAGAAACCGTGCTCTGCAACAAGAGAAGCCACCGCAATGAGAAGCCCGCGCACCACTATGAAGAGTAGTTCCCCACTCACCGCAACTAGAGAAAGCCCGCGTGCAGCAACAAAGACCCCGCGCAGCCAAAAATAAATAAATAAACAAACAACTAAATAAATAAAAGATTATGGGAGAAGGTAAAGGGCTCAGTTACATTTTAACTTCTGAGGCTCATATAATGGCTTATTATATAAGCCATTTTGCTGAACTCATCCATCAATTTATAACTGTGAAGATTTAAACAAATCATGTGCTGTATATAAAAATGTTCATCATAAGTTCTTTATTCGAAAGAAATAAATAGATCAACAAATATATTTCCAAAGTTTTGAAAATCATCTTATTTACATACCTGTCTGTTTTACATGTCTTTAGTTTGCTTATCCTCTCTTGCCCCCTGCCTTCTTTTATTTCATAGTTTAATTTTTTCAAAACTTTAATTCCAGCCAATTTACTCTTGTTAAAAAACGTATGCTCCTATGGGATCCTCCAGTCAGATGGTTTGTGGGTTTCATGGGATGTGGTGTAATAGACTACATAACTACAGTTTAACTCTTCTTTTTCATATTTAGGTTCCTTATCGCTTACATGCTGTTTTAGTTCACGAAGGCCAAGCTAATGCCGGGCACTACTGGGCATACATTTTTGATCATCGTGAAAACAGGTGGATGAAGTACAATGATATTGCTGTAACAAAATCATCATGGGAAGAGCTAGTGAGGGACTCTTTTGGTGGTTATAGAAATGCCAGTGCATACTGTTTAATGTACATAAATGATAAGCCACAATTCTTAATACAAGGTAAGAATATGAAATATATAGGGTGGTATATATTTTTAAATAAGTAACCCTTTTATGTGACTCTGGTCTCTGGTGTGATTAGTTAAGTGTAGTTTACTAAAGAGTGTGATGAATATGATTAGGAAATGCTGTTGGGTTAGTAGGTGAGAAAACTGGAATTGAAAAGTAATGTGACCAGGGCTGAAAACTGGAATATATTTTGTATTCAAAGTTAACTATTTAGTGACTATTATAAAATGTAAATCGGACTTTTTTCTCCTTGTTAAAATCCCTTTAATGACTATGTCACACATTGACTCATATTCAAGCTCCTTAACCTAACATAAAAAGCCTCCATTTTCTGGCCTCTAATTGTCTCTCCAGCTTTATTTATAACCATTGTCCATTTCAAACTTTATGTACTTTACTAATATTTGAACTTCTTTGGCTCACACCAAATCATTTCACACATTTATATCTATATGTTCTTATGTTTTCTGTTTTTATTTTTTGCCAGTAATGATCTTATTTCTTTCTTCTTTTGCCTAATTCTTTCTCATCTCTCAGGATACAATTCAGATGTCATCGGCTCTGCCAAGTTTTCCTTGACCTGCCACAAAGTATCCCTCCTTGTGTTCTCATAGCATACCTCTATTGGGCACTTATTATGTGTTGGAATTGTATGTTGACTTGTCTTTCGCACTTCACTCTGATCTGCTCAAAGCCAGGGACCATTTCATACTATGTCTTGTCTTTTTATTTCTCATATTCTAATATAGGCTTTGCGTATAAAAAGCACTTAATAAAGGTTTGTTGAGACTGATAAAAATAAACTTTCCTTTTGTATTTAACCATTTAGCAAAACTAGTTAGGCAGTTCATTTATGACTGAAAGCTAAAATTTATTTTGTGTGTGTGTGGTAGAGGTTGAGTAACGCTTTTAAGTACTACTTATGTGATGTTGAAAAAAATCTTGCTATATTGATTAGTTTTCAAATTGCATATAAGTATATTGCTATACTTAACTGCTTCAGATGAAAAAGAATTTTAGTTTTATTTTGAGCTTTCGAGGTTATGAGTTATTTCTTCTCATTTTGTGGTTTTACTTCGTGAATAATCAAATGTCTGGTATTTTATAATAGAAAAAGTAGCACCATGTCTGTTTGAAAAGTAGCAAACAATTTTGGCCTTGTTCCATTTTTTTACTCTTCAGCCTAAAAGTAAAAGCTGAGAACATTGCCTATAATGGATTGTCAAATATTTGCATCATTGTTTTTCTGAGCATTTGTTTGAGTTTTCTTTTAATATATAGGTAATATTGATTCGCCAAGTGGTAATAATTTGTACTTTAAATACATTTGAAACACCTTCTATTTTGAGCTTTGCATTTTTCCTTTAACCCTTAATTTTATAATAGTTTTTGAAATATGATTTGCAGAGGAGTTCAATAAAGAAACTGGGCAGGCCCTTGTTGGAATAGAAACACTACCACCAGACTTAAGAGATTTTGTTGAGGAAGACAACCAGCGATTTGAGAAAGAACTAGAAGAATGGGATGCACAGCTTGCCCAGAAAGCTTTGCAGGAAAAACTTTTAGCATCTCAGAAATTGAGAGAGTCAGAGTCTTCTGTGACAACAGGTTAGTCTGCTTTTATTGCATTTTATTATCAATATCATGTTTATTATTGATATTTTATTATAAAAATAAGATATGCTCATTGAAAAAGCAAAAACAACATAAAACTTTAGTTATCCTAAAATGTGAAGACTCCAGTAAAAATCATCTGAAATTCCATCACTCAGAGATAATAAAAGGCAACAATTTAGTTTACTCCTTTGCCAGATAACACTGTATGTACATACATATCGTTTTCAAGTTAAATGAGATGATTCTGCTAACTCTCCCTCTACCTATTCTGCCTACTTTGATTGACTTTTTTGGCAAGATGCTTAGAAAAACTGTGAAACCGCAGGTAACCCAAGCCAATTCACTAAAGCTATCAAAGGAATGAACTCTAATAATTTCATATTTGAGCAAAATAACACTACTGGTAAATAGTATTAATTCATATAGAGTATTTATTTGATTTTTTTTCAGAATTCTTAAAGTTAAAAACAAAATTAGCAGGAACTAAATATTTAATATGTTCCAAGCCAAAATCTGTATAGATCTGTAAAACAAATGAGAAGATAAGTGTATAAAAATATAAATATTGAACATTCTACAATTATTAGGTGATAAAATCAATAAAATATTAAGAATAACACTGTACAAAAGTATCTTCTAGCAAAGCTGAAAATACAATGTCTAATGATTTTTTTAAGATTAATTTCATCACTAAGTTGTCAGAATATTTTAGGATTACATTTTGTACTGTAGGAAAGGTCCTCTTTCTGTTTAGTGGTTGGTGAAATGAGAAGAGATAAATTAAACAGATATTTTCCTTAACCCCATTTGTCTCTTTCTCTTTTTTTTTTTTTTTAAATAACTCTGAGTGGATCATTTTGAATCACCCTTTTTTTGTAAGATCTGTGTGTTTTGTTTTTATTTTTTAAGAAAGCATTTTAGGTGTTTGTTTAATTTCATCTTTTATAGACAGATTCCCATGCAGCTTTACCTAGGTAGGTTTCAGCATTATCATCTGAACTTTAGAAGGAATTATTCTTTCAATGAGAGATTTGTAATACCACAATATGGTATGGTGACTGATGTAGGCATGCACAGATCTTTCCAGACTTGGAACTTGTTCTCATATGAATTGAATAGTTGAGTCCTTGATCTTGATTTTAAGTGACATTGATTCAGAATTTTTTAAAGACCAAGATAATGGTATTATACCAACAAAGGTACCAACATATTGATACAGAAATGCAGTACAGTATATCTGAATACCACCATTGTAGTCTCTGGTGAGCTCTACCAGACGAGGACTGTACTTTCTTCCTGTACATCAAGGGCCACTGTGTAGAACAGGTGAAACTCTATAGTTTCACAACAATGCAGTTTCATTATAGTAACTTTGTCCATATTAGTAGGAAGTAAAATAGCTCAGTAGATATCAAGAGGTTTCTGAGTTCAAATCACAGTGTAGTAACTATGTTACAGTTCCTTTCATTTTTGAGTCAGTTCCATCTCTTTGTGATTTCATCCCTTGTCTTCTGTACATATCCTTTCCAAATTACTCCCTAGAACTTGCCCCAAGATGGAGCTACTCTGTTATTCTTTGCTTAACTTTTAAGTGCTCCAGTTACACATGGCTCTTCTTATCTTATTAGTGGGAGGACAGGGCTGCACAATTGGCGTGATAGTGGCACCTAAGCACTCAGATGAAGGTGAGTGCTCCAGTCATTGGTTAAGCTCCAACCCTATTATTTTTGGCTCAGTTATATTTTGTAACACCAAAATATTAAATTCTGTACAGACTCTTTTCCATCTTTTCTGTTTCTCACAAGACTATCTAAATTTACAGACTTAACACATTTTATTTTTACTAAATCAGACTAATACATATTCCCCACTAATATTCCTGTCTGACAGGACTAGCCAACTTTTCCCCATCATTTACATTTGTCATCTTATATTCCCTCGCTATGAAAAGGCCACATGTGTGTATGCTCCACACCCTTTTTATCCTGATCAATACTTCCTATTGTACACTTTATATGGTATTTTGTAAGTTTTAAAAAATTCAACAGTAGGTATTAGGAATATATGTTCATGTCCCTCTTTAGTATTAAAAAAAAAAAACTTGAAGAGAAATACAGATGTATTTCTGAAAGGAGCCAGAATAACTAAAAAATAAAGAGATGGAAAGGTAATTCATATGTAATTATTATGATAGTTATCTTCCAGACTGGGTTTTTAGAAAGCAGTGACAGTACTGCCTCAGTAGAAAGCATTGTGTCCTGTATAAGATTGCTAGAAATATGCATTTTGAGTTAGTAGAAATAGAATGTTCTAAATCTATAAATTTGGGGGTGAGATTATTGTTTAAAAGATTGGTTTCTATTACTGTATTATTTTACATATCATATTAAGAAATCCATCTTCTGTTACAGGGGAATTTAACATACCACAATTGAATAAGGGAATCTATTATAGTGTTCAGTGGAATCACTTACATCCGATCATAAGTAGAGAAATTTTACTTTAATGCCTATGCCATCTTTTTCCTGTTACTCCTCACAGTTTTCAAAGTAATTTGTTTAATTTGGTATAATACTTTCAGACTGTCAAAGAGAACCTGTGTTTAAATCTCTCAGGTGTGCACTAGGATTATGAGTGACTAGTGGAAGTAATACAAGGAAATCCTGTTTATAAAATCCATCAGTGATTTTTTTTTCTCTCCCTGCAAATCTTTTCAGTAAAGCTGTAACCTAAGAACCATTAAAATCCAATTTCTTAAGGGTGATATTCCAAATAAGAATATTAATTTATATAGTATTAATTAAATGAGTATTTGTTCCTCTTCTTGAACAGGTGACCAAGAAATCCATAGGCATCACTTCTCCCACATGATTCATTGTCTTACTGAAACTAAATAATAAATGATAGAAAAGTATTCTTTAGTCCATCTCACACCACCTCCCTAACCTGCCTACTGCAAAAGAAAACTTACCTTAACACTTATGTTTAGAGATTTAGCCAACGGCTCTTTCCCACAGTATATATCGATACATCAGAATTACCTGGGGGACTTTTTCTGAGTATAAACAGGACATACCACCTAAGATTTACTGGGATCAGAATCAGTGGAGGAAGGGTCCAGAATATATATTTTTAAAAAGATGTTCAGATAATTCTGAGGTGTACCTGTGGCTAAGCAGCATGACTCTAGGCTGTATGTATAAAACAAATTATTCTGAAGGAGAGAGAGCTTTGCCTGTTTTGCTTGTGTTACCCATGTCTTACTCAAAAACTATTTGAAGTCCTTACAATATATATAACATACTCGGATTTTAAAAACAAAAAGAAAGGAGCTGAAACCAAAAAATGACCTCATTTTTGACAAAAATGACCTTATTTTTGACTTGTAGACCAAATGGTCTACAAGTCAAAAATAAGCTGATATTCCAGGAAAGTACAGCTGGTTCCTGAGAGTAAGACCTGGTAGAATGAACAATATCCTCAATATTTTCAAGTTCCTTTAAAACAGGGACCAGGTGATGTTCTTACTTAAATCTCCAGAATCTAGCATAATAAATGACACATGGTTGATGCCCCTTGAATATTTTCTGATTTGATTTCATTCCCTATGGAAATTGCAATAATGAGTTTCCTAGGGGTGATCCTCAGTGTATGGGAATGCAACCATTTTAAAAGGATAGCCAGCGTAAAACAGATAGCTAGTGGGAAGCTGCTGCACAGCACTGGGAGATCAGCTTGGTGCTTTGTGACCACCTAGAGGCGTGGGATTGGGAGGGAGGCTTAAGAGGGAAGGGATATGGGGATATATGTATGCATATAGCTGATTCACTTTGTTGTACAGCAGAAACTAACACAACATTGTAAAGCAGTTATACTCCAGTAAAGATGTATATGTAAAAAAAAAAGGATAGCCAAAATAACTATACATTAGGGAAGAAGGCTAAAAGTATGTTGTGCAGATATAGCTCTATCCTGGATAAGTTTTAGGTTTAACTTTGGTTCCTAAGCCTCTACTCCCCACATTGCTGAGAATTCTGTTTTTGGTGCCACCTAGGAATCTGAAGTCTTAAAATTGTTTCTATGATGATTCTATGCAGCAAGCTTAGCATGGCTCTTTATAGGCTGCTTTTGGGGAATCATTGATTTTAAATACATTTCTGTAAGAAAAATGGACTGCTATTCTTTGATGCAGTACTCTTTAAATATTTTTCTAAATGTGCATGTAATAAGTATGACTCATTAGTAAGTTATGAAATACTTCTGAAAGATATGAGTTGTTCTTTTTTTAAATAGTTGATTAGAGAGCAGATCCTTATGCTTTAACAGAAAGTCAGTTGCTTGTCAAGTTGACTCTTAAAATGCTAAAGACCATAACCAGGAAACAGGCATAGAACACCCCCAAGGTCCTCCCAACCCCTTACTTCAACATGAAGGTGGACTAAAGGAGCAAGTTCTGAGTACTCTCAGAATGTTGGATTTTATATAACAGCCAAATAGGTGAATGAATAAGTTCTATTATCAACATAGAACATGGCTGGAAAATATCTTATGTGGAGGATAGCCATCCAAAAATCTCAGTGAAGCATCCATAAACTAAATAAATGATTAGAAAGATACTCCAGGTATAGGGACATTTTATACCTCTACAGAGAACTGGTCATTCACGGTGAAATGAGTGTGTTTAGGAGTTTGTAGCTGCAGGTAGGTAAGCAAAGAAGACTTCCAGGAATTAAGAGTAACAAATGTCACATAAGTAATCACCAGCTGTATTTCAAGCTGAAGCCTGAACAATAACACTTTAATAACTGTGGGACCAGTTAGTACATAAAATGCCAGTTAATGCATAAAGGAAACAGCGTGGTCTCTGTTTATTGAGCTCCTACCATTTATATAGGCCAGCAGGGATGAGAATTCTATAGGGATACAGGATGAACAAAAACTGTTGCGTGAAACTTCTAGAGGGTTACAGGATGAACAAAAACTATTGTGTGTGCAAAAAACATAAAAGAGCCAGATGTTTTGTCCTAATGTTGTTTTTAACAAAGAAATGGAAATTGCCTAAATGTATGGTAAAATATTAGTTGTATGAGCCCTTTATACAGAAGAACACGGTATAACCAGTAAAAATTGTATCGACAGGAAGAGTGTTTGTTATATTAAGTTAAAAACAGTATATTCAGAATAACTTTTTGTTTAAAAAAATTTGGGTAGGTAAAATCTGGAATATATAATACTAAAAATATTAATAGTGCTTATGTCTAGGTAGTGGAAAGAGCCTTTTATTTTCCTCCTTTGGTTATTTGTTCATTCTAGTGAACATGTTTTTTACTCTTCTGGTTTGACAAAATGAAGCTAAAACCTCTTTCCTTTTTTATGAAGACCTTCTATTATAATCTGACTCCCTTGTAATTCTTCCAAGACTACTATTCTATGTTTCTTCTAAACCAGGGTATTCCCCATTATTCTTGCTTGTAGGTTATTTTCCTGTCATTAAGGCTTTGCTCATGAAGTATCCTTCATTTGGAAAATGTCCTCTTATCCTCACTATTCTTGAAATTTTGTCCATTTTAAGACTTTCCTCATATCCCCAAATCTTTATGAATCCCCCTAATTACCCCTGTAGCAATTATTACCTTTTTTCCTCTATTCTAGTCCCAATCTGTTCTCACTACCAAATTTATGTTATATTTCATCTTGATTACCAGTGTAAAGGCTCATTAATAGCAAGGATTTTATTAATCTTTTATCTGTCCTTACAGTGCCTTTGCATATGCTATTCCTTCTGCCTAGAATCATCTTCTTTCTCATCAAGATAATTTTCTCTACAAATCCTTCAAGACTCAACTCAGTTGACATTCCTCCTTTCTTAGCATGCAGCATCATTCCAAGTGTGTGTATTAGGTCCACAATGCTTCTGTAGGACCTTGTGCATAAGTCTGTTATTGCATTCAGTACTCTGTATTGTAATGGAGTATATACATTTATCTGATTTTGTTGAGAGTTCCTTAAAGTGAGTAAATTTTCTGTCTTTTTTTTTTTTTTTTACCATTGTTAATACCTAGCTTGGTACTAAAAATGGCATATGCTCAACATGTTGGGAATGAAGTTTGGGTTTTTGTTTCTAAACTCCCAGAACTCGAATCCTTATATAGGTTTACCTACTGTGATTACAGTACCACTCAAATAAGTTCCCTGGAAGATATTTACACAGGGAAAATTCTAGAGGAAATAGTTTTATATGACATTTAGGCAGAATCATTCAGCATCACATAAGGTTTCTGAACTCAAATCCTTATGTGGAAGGAAACCTTGACGCTGGGGACCTAAGGTGTATTTGACTGTGTCGATCAGATAAAATTACTTTTTCTCTTAAGGACTTAATTTACATACATTGTCCAGGTTTCCCTGGCTTAGACCAGTGTCACACCAGATGGATTTCTTGGCCCTCATTGCATTAAGCTCACATCCTACTATCAACTACTGATGTTTTATCTATTACAGTGAGAAGAGACAAAGGGGGAAAACACAAGTAATGAAAGCTTTATCAACAAGAAGTCTCTCTCTGTTAATCCCTAGAGCAGTTGACTTAATCCACTTATGAAACCTTCCAGAAGCAGAAGACTTGCCTAGCTGGAGTTGTAGTGGTTAAGATTTTCTTAACCTTGTCTATCATACAGGGACACTGAAAGAACATTGCAGTCCAAAGTCAGGAAATACAGAAATGAGGACATTTAACTTTTTTTAACTTCTTTACCTATCACATGCATTGTAAGCATTTCTTCCTTTAATTTTCCTTGTCATAGTATATTTCACTCCCATTATCCTAATTACTCATACCCAAAATTTAAGTCATCTTCACATAAGTCTCCAAACCTTCATGTCTAAAATGCATCTTGAATCTAACCAATTCTCTCTTTCTTGCTATCTCTGTTATCCAAAAGAATAGTCGTTTCTTGCTCGTACTGCTGTAGTACCTTTTAGTACTTTCATTGACTTCTAGTTTTACTTTCCTCTCTAATCTGTTCTTTGCAGTGTGGTCAGAATAATGTTCTTTAAACTTGACATGTTGCCATTGTATTTAAAATGTTTATTCACTTGCTTTGCCCTTCAAAACTTCTGTGACTCAAAGGCCTCCGTTTTGTCCCTATCTGCATCATCTCTTGCCACTTCTCTCCTCTTGTAGTACTATAGTCCAGCCACACTAGATGCCTTTTGGATTGAGCTTATGCTCACTTCATGGGCTGTTCATTCTTCCATTTTCAAACCTAATCCATTTAACTTCAGCTAAAAAGTCAGTTTATCTCATATCCCATAATCTAAATTACCCTTGCTCCATTTTATTCCTATAATGTATATGACATTGTCACAATTCATATGCGTGATTCTTTGGTTAATAACTTTCTCCATAGTTGACTATAAACTCCATGGGGGTAGGGACTGGCTGCTTTGTTCACACTCAGAGTCCCAGTGCCTAGCCTAGTGCCAGGCACATAGTTAGACACTTAATTAGAATTCATTGGATAAATGAATGCTCGTGCATCTATGTTGAAATTACATTATTTCTTTTTGAATAATATTTCACTTTGAGAAAAGTTTTAAATTAGTAAAATATTGGAAAGGTTGATAGTAATCCTGTCGTGTCCCACCAATTGATTGAGCAAGGACTCATCCTATCCCAGTAATGCTGTAGAATATTTTAGTGTACTTTCTTATTTCTTTTTATCTATTCATTAGCTTATTAATTCACTTGTTCCATTAAGTTATTGTGTGCTTATTATATGCTAGGTATTGAAGAAATAGCAATACAAAAGGGATATAGCATCACTGCTTTTTCGATTCTTACAGTCTAGCAGGGGATATGGGCTTGAAACAAATACTTAACAAAAATAATGAAGTTATAATTGTGGTAAGTGCTATTAAAAAGAAAGAATACGTTTACTCTAGAGCAGTTATTCTCACCTGAGAGTGATTTTGTCCCTCAGACGGCATTTGACAATACTGGAGACATTTCTGGTTGTCACACCTGCGGGGACAGTACAACTGGCATCTAGTGAGTAGATGCCTGGGTACACAGGACAGTCCTCCACACCAAAGAATCATCTGAACCAAAATGTCAGTAGTGTTGAGGAGGAGCAACCCTGCTTTAGAAATGGGGTTATCAGGAATACTTCCATAAGGAAGTGATATTCAAACAAAAGGATATATAGAAGTTAATAGACGGGGGGTGGGGGGGGGATGAGAATTGGTGAACACACAGGCAAAGGGAAGAAAATGAGGAAAGATCCAAAAGTTGGAAGGTAAACCTCTTCTCTGATGTATTAGATAAGCTGAAAAAAGTCTGGTATGTGTTCCTTTTTGAGTAAAGGGCAAAGGACACCAGGCGATGTTGGAGAGATAGGCAGAGACCCATTTATATAACACCTTGTAGGTCGTATAAGGATTTTGGGGTAGTCTGTTAAATACCCAGTGGACATTCAGAGTACATTGTTGCATCTGTGAGTTTCGAACTCAGAACATAGGCAGTAGATACAACTTTAGGAGTTCTTCAGAGAAGTAGTATTTGAAGTCTTGAATTTATATTCGTACCAGTTTGGCAAGTTGTAATTGTTTTTCTGTGATAACACTCAGCTACCAGGAACAGGTTCAGAAAAGATAGAAGGTTGGGTTCATTCAGGGTTAGGATTTTGTTAGGTAAGTATGAAAAAGGATACTGTGTCCAGAAAAACAGCTACTGTGCTCTCTACAGAAACTCAGACCAGGATTGTTGTACAAACCACCCCCCTACCTCTTTTTTTTTTTCTTTTTTTTGTGTGTAGAATGCTCATGATTTTCCAAAGTTAGACTTTGATACTTATCATGACAAAGAAATTTTCTATGAATTTCTTAGCATAAACTATAATGAGTGCTTTCTTCAGTAATTATTTGACTACTCTGAGATCTGATTCTTTCTTTGGTAAATTCTGGGGGAAGTACTGTATATTGAAGCATGTATTACTTTAAATTGAGTAAGTAAAGTAAAATTAATTATTGTATAACTTCAAATGAGAAATAAATAACAGATATATCTTAGTATAAACTCACTGATTTATATTAGATATACAATTGATTCTTTTCTCATGAAGCACAAGCAGGAGAACCAGAATATCTAGAGCAGCCATCAAGAAGTGATTTCTCAAAGCACTTGAAAGAAGAAACTATTCGAATAATTACCAAGGCATCACATGATCACGAAGATAAAAGTCCTGAAACAGTTTTACATTCGGTAAGAATTTTTCTTTTAGCTCTCTGAACATACGCATCAATGTTCACGAGGTTTCCTAGCAGTATAAGGAGAATGACCTGTCTGGGAGTCAGGAGAGACCAGGCCAAAGGACGGTTTCGCTTGAACATGATGAGTGATTGTAGGTGTCACCTAACTGCCAGGCTGTAATTTCCTCAGCTGTAATTTTTAAAATGCTTCTTTTTTAAAAAAAAAAAAATTCTATCTTCCTGTTAGAGAATTATGAAAAATTATAATCATAGACTAAGCTAGTCATTTGATTTGGAACTTAAAAGAGAGAAGTACAAAATTTAGCATTATTTTTCTTTTCTCTCAATCCCTTCTCCCATCTTTAGTCTTATTACATTGGAATAGTTGGTAATATAAGGTATAAATTTCATTGTTTCATGGGCTGTGTTTAACAGAATACTAGATAGTCTAGGTTAGAGTATTATTAGTAGAATAAATATGATATTATAAAACACTTTATGCATATTTTGTGTCCTGTATAAAATTGTCATTATAAGCCTCCTTTATTGTTAATTTTCAAGTATTCAAGTGTGTCTTTTTATAACAGTAAGTTGAGTACATTGGTATTGCATTATGTTTCAATGAATATGATATTCTGAGAGATGTTGTTTCAAGAGTTTCATACTACAAAACTATTCAGTTGCTATAGTCATTTATTTTTTATTTTATTAGTGAGCACAAGCAACTCTAATACAAGTTTCATGAGAGCTAATTTTAGGATTTGAAGATTCCACTCCTAGAGTGCTAAAGCGAACAGGACATGTAATTTTTCAACACATAATTTTCCACTGAGTGAACTTAATCTCAATAGCCTGCTAATTACAGTGATGTCTTTAATAGGATAAGATCTTGATTAACCAAAATGTTCAATTAATAGGGTATTCTGTTAATTATGTTTTGATGAACAAAGTAATCAGAAATTATTTTTTAATTTAATTTCCTTTTTGAAAAAGTTTGATTATATATCATCTTACCATTAAAAAATCGTATTAATATAGATTTTTTTTTTGATCATTTTAAATTTTGCAACTGTCCCTAGAGACTAAAAAACTTGAGGTGAGGAACTGCTAACTCTAAAGCACTTCCTGAAAAATGCTTCTTTTAATAGATCTGGGATTTCTACTTCTTGGGGGATGGTAGAAGAAACCGTAGGGAGGGAGAAAAAACACAGGAGTAGATAACACGGGAGAAATATTTTTGCCTGATATGAAAAAAATAATTTGCCAGGGCTTTTGCTAATTAAGATTTTTATTTGTTAGAGCCTACATTATGGTTAATAAGTATCATTCGTTTAACTGGTATCAGAAAGCTGGAAGCACTAGTTAGCTTAATGTAGAATCATGATTTTTTTTTTTTTTTTTTAGTTTGGCTAATCATGTGTGATTTAAATTTGTAGAAATCACTTAAATTTTGATTGATTAGTTTATTCATATGGAGATCATCTTATAAGCTAGCAATCTGCTGCTTCACCTTTACTTGAAAAAAGATGGCATTGAGGGAATATGATAGCTAGCATAAATATTTTTTCTATCTGGCATATCTTCTGGAGTAGCACCAATAGTTGGCCACATTGTCTGTATAAATTCTGAAGCATATCTGAGAATATATTAATCATGACTGTCTGACCAGTGGTTCCTGGTCTCATGGTCAGTTGCTTAGGATCATGGTGACCACCTACTGGGTTTTCTCATTTAAAGGTATACCTTAGAAACTAAATTTCAGAGTCTTCAGATTTGGGGATTAAATAGTCCTGGGTTTTTGAATATTAATTTTACTTCTTGCTAGCTATGCAAACTTGAATAAGTTGCTTAATTTTTTAAACCTTACTTTTCTTTTATATAAAATGGAGGTGATTGTCAGATGAATTAAGATCATTTTTTTAAGTGCCTAGCATGTAGTGTAGGCCCTAAGTCGCTCTTTATTTCCTTCTGTTACTTAAATCCTAAACATTTCACAAATACACAATAAAGTTCCAACCTTAGTAGAAGAAGAATTTCCTGGAAAGCTTAGAATCACAGAAACCATAGAGAGATACTCTCCAAATATTTAGACAGCTTGCTTTTTAGAAGAATGTCTTTCATTTTAAGTGAAATATTTTAGAAAATTTAAAAATTCAGAAAAGTAGACTCTAAGAAAGAATCATGCATATTTCCACTACCCGAAGTTAATCACTTAATAAGTTGGTATGTTTTCTTTCATTCTTATTTTTATATACAGATTTGGGATTTATTTTTGTAATTGAGTTACTACTGTATATAAAATTTTGTATCTTAACTTTTCTTCTTTTAATCACTGAACATAACCATTTCCCCATGTTACAAACCAAAAAACATTTAATGGTTGAATAGTATTCCATTAAGTGATTAAATTCTTACTTACTTACTCATTTCCCCTTATATATTGATTTCTACTTTTACATTATTATAAACAGGTTGTTAAAAATGAAACTTTTTCCATATTTCTGGTTATTTCTTTAGACTAGATTCCCCATAAGTTAGTAGGTTAAAAAGGTATGAGCATATTAAGGGAGCCAAAGGGGTTGAAGATATATAGCTTTCTAATCACCCTTTTATGGGACACTTTTTTTAAAAATCATGTATTTAATAGATTCAGGCAATTAATAAAAATCTTTGTGTTCTAATTATTTTTACAACTTATTAACTGAGGAACTTATCTTTAATCTCTTTCAAGTTCAGCCTTTGTTAAGGTGTTCATATGGGACCTGACAGTAAAAGGAAAAGATAAATGTACTTCAGTGAACCCTAAAATTCTTTATATGAAAAAATTTTATGGTACTTTAGGATATTTAAACTTGATGGACACAGAATAACTACATATGCCCAAAATTTCTTCCCTTTTTCAACTTTCACCCAAATAATTAATTAGTGTTATTGCTGTTGAAACTCTTCTGTGGCAACTGGAAAGGATTATAGAACATTTATTTTTCCTAAGTGCAGTTATTTTTCAAAGGAAACATGTCATTTTTTAAGGATAAGTATTCTAAGGAATACATTTTCTGGTTGCTACTTGCCTTAAATTTGTATTTTTTCTTCTTAATATAGTATTGTTTTGGGTTGGTTTGCTTATGAGAAATTTTTCACCAAAAGTTCAGACAAATTTCTTAGTTTACCTGCTTATATTTCACTCTTGTGAATGGAAACGTAGGACAATTCTTCCTCTCTCAAATGCTGGAAGGATTAAAAATCCTTAATTAAATGTCATAGACCAAGCTTATCTCTCTAAGTAGTAATATTGGGCTAGGATTATTCCGGTATAAGCAATTTCAAGAAGCATAATAGTATAATATTTGTAATACCTATCATTTATAGAACAACAATTAATGTGTCAGGTTTTGGGTTAGCTGAATATTAGCTCTCAAGATCATGACAACCATGCAGGTTGGTTGCTTCCTCTTGAAAAACTGAGGACTCAAAACAGAACGAGGAAAGCTTTTCTGAAAGTGTCATGGTTAAAAATAACATTTCTTTTAAAGGAAGCAATGCTGGTCTTGGCCATTATTCTTGTTTTATTGTTCAGTTAAACTTCTTCTGCATATGTACTTTGGAAAAGTCAGAAAATCTTCACATCATTAAAATTTACCTATATTATAAACTGCAGTAAAACCACTCTGTTTTTATTAAAATTTTCTGTTTATTTGATGTCAAAAGTAAAGTTCATCTTTGCTTAGGGAAATTTTTATGGTGCAATTTGAAATTACTTAAGCAAGCTGCTTTCAAGCACCTTAAGTACTTCTGAAATTTGTTTGTAGGTAAATAGTGAATATGCTAGTTATAAATCTATTCAGTAAAGTAAGATCCTTGTGAAATCTGAACAGTGTTTTGAATGAACCATATTAGTGTCTTTTTTTTTTTTTTTTTTTTTGCGGTATGCAGGCCTGTCACTGTTGTGGCCCCTCCCGTTGAGGAGCACAGGCCCCGGACGCACAGGCTCAGAGGCCATGGCTCACGGGCCCAGCCGCTCCGTGGCACGTGGGATCTTCCCGGACAGGGGCACGAACCCGTGTCCCCTGCATCGGCAGGCGGATTCTCAACCACTGCGCCACCAGGGAAGCCCCATATTAGTGTCTTTGAGTGGACTTTCTGGATTTCACACTGGCTTCCACTCCATTAGTTTGGGTTAGTGAAATTCTTAGAATTTGTTAACAAAGAAAAGAAGAAGAATCTGACTGAGTTTTTAAAAATGGATATCACTTTCTAGCAGCTTTCCCCAAAACAAGAATTCACTGGACACGCATGATGTAAATATATTGTACTAGGTCTCATAGGCTGCGACCGAGTGGGTTTAAACACAGTAGGGTGTGGATATTAAGTGGCTATACAATCGATTATTAGAAAGGATAGAAAGGTAAAATCATAAGAAAGAAAACTTACAGACTCTCCTGGATTCAGAAGAGGTCATATCTTATTTTGATGGAGATATCAAGAAAGGCTTTGTGGAGTTATTAGAATTTAAAAAAGTAAGGGCTTCACTCGTGGCGCAGTGGTTGAGAGTCTGCCTGCCAATGCAGGGGACACAGGTTTGTGCCCCGGTCCGGGAAGATCCCACATGCTGCGGAGCGGCTGGGCCCTTGAGCCATGGCTGCTGAGCCTGCGCGTCCAGAGCCTGTGCTCCGCAACGGGAGAGGCCATGAAAGTGAGAGGCCCGCGTACAGGAAAAAAAAATAATAAAAAAAAATAAAAAAGTAAATAAAACTTTCACCTGTAAAGACAGCAGTAGGAAATACAACTTCAGTATTAACGATTTTTAAGAATTTGAAGATGCTTTGTGGGAAAAAAAAATTAAAATTTAATTTAGTGTTTGAGATGCAAAGTGAAAGCTGGAAATCTTGTATTATTACCTGATTAATGCATTTGCTTTAGTGTTCAGTTTTAGATGTTTTCATTTCATGCTAAAAAAATGCAGGTATTTTTAAAAGGATCAAGAGTCTGTGCACTTAAACTGAGTGCTTCCAT